GGAATGTAGCTCAATACAAGCGCAAACTACGGCTAAAGTTTCATAGAAATTTGATGTTTCGTTACGGAGCCATGCATGATCAACGAAAATTTTAAGGGGTGGTCGGAGACTTTTGGTCACCCACTGTAGATCATGTAACAATTGATATAACTGTTATTTTTGTTGAATGCAATAAAGATTGTGACTAAGTCTTTCACTTACGAGGGAATATTCTACATTTATTATTAAATGAATTCATCGTATCGCACTATAATGGAATGTCACGTGTAATAATTAATGTCCATTATAACAAATCATGCACGCTATTGTGGACTCGTGCTATAAGGGCATCCATGGGTTGTGCCCAACTGTCTATTATAACGAGCTTTGACTGTATGCTGAAGAATTAGTCAAAAAATTGAAAGACCTCAAAGCACAGGATCACACACAAAATCGAATCCAGAAATTATTAGGATTAATAAAGAGCAAACATATGCTTTTATTCCCATGCAAGCTTCTGCAAGACATGTTATAGGGAGATTCCTTGCTCAGCACATTAAGTATCAGATGCATATCATTATGTGACATTCTTACCATGAATGTGGAATGACCATTGAGTTTACATATGGTCAAATGACAGAAGTATTATCTCATAAAAGTTTACAATGAATTATGTTTGGCACATAAGAAATAATCATGGGGATATCCAAAAAGTTTGTGAACTTACATGAATACAACAAAAGGCAGTTGAATGGTATCAAAAAGCAGCTGAACAAGGAGATGCTGATGCACAATACAATCTTGGTGTGTGTTATGAATGTGTAACTGGAGTAGAAAAAGATGAGCAAAAAGCAGTTAGATGGTATTAAAAAGCTGCTGAACAAGGAGATGCTGATGCACAAAATAATCTTGGTTGATTACAGAAAGGTATTGATATAGAAACAGATTATCAAAAAGCTGTTGAATTATATCAAAAAGCAGCTATGCAAAGAAATTATTTTGCACAGGATAACCTTGGTTGGTGTTTTGAAAATGGAATGGGTGTAGATAAAAATGTTCAAAGCAGTGGAACTGTATCAAGAAGCAGTGAAGCAAGAAAATGATTATGCATATGTTAGTCTTGGTTTATGTTACAAAAATGAAATTGGAGTAGAAAGAGATATTCAAAAGGCTATTGAATTGTTCCAAAGGGCAGCTGAAGAAAGAATGCATTTGGACAATATAACCTTGGTTAGTGCTATGAAAAGGGAATTGGTGTAAACAAGATGAAATATATCAAAAAGCAGCTGAGCAAGGGTACATTAAGGCACAAAACAAAATTTATTTTTTTTTGAATATAATAATAATGATAACTCCAAACTAACTTGCTACGACTGTTGTCATGACCTACTATCATTATAGTCTTTACGTTGTCTATTTTATCACATTGTGAGATTATTTCATGCATAACAAAAGACACTCTTTCATTAAATTCTTCAAAATCTCCCCATAAGGCAATGGTGTTTTAATAGGTTCGTAAAAGTGAAGGTTGTCCGAAAAATAAGAATCAAGCTGCTCGAAAGAAGCTGGCGCGTGGTTACATGTGTTGTCAGGTTTAAACAACTCCCTTGATGGCAATAAGTAATAGTGAGACTAATAAAGTGAAGATAAAATAATAACCAAGCCATTCTCAGCAAATATTTGCAGCTTTAACTTTTGCGCATTACCGTCTCCAATGTGCGATAGAAGGGATAATATAGTTTATTTGTCGAATGCATATACAGTTAGAAGTCTTTGGACTGCTTATTTTAATAATACAAAAAAATCGTTACATGTACGTGAATTCAATAAAGAAAAACCAACTAATCGCCGACACTATCATCAATCCCTAAAATGGCATGACATAAACGTCTCCGATATCGATATCTAAACTACCCCCCATCGAAATCGACAAATCAAACGTGGAGTTTTGCGGGCTTTTATTGTTATCGACAAATCAAACGTGGGCAAGTGTGTATACGGTTACCATCTTCAAGGATATTCACTCATCCGGGGTTCAATGCCAAAACAATTGTATGCCAAGCACTATCCGCACGTATGTTACTGGCGAAAATATTTTGGAACGTATTCTTATTATTTTCTCGTTAACTAGAATAATCTCTTGCTACATAATAATTCAGTATGTTCAACAAATCAGAATATATCACTTATTAACCGCAGAGCAAAGGTGAGTCAGTACATTCACGGTTAAATTGGTTTGGTGCAACAAAGCATAATTGCTGTTTGCCATGAACGACCTATTAAGTAAATCTGGTCATCACGTTATTGGTAGCACTGTCTGATCTTTTAATCAACCTAATTTTTTTTGATGGCTAAACTCTAATAATTCTTTTATAATAATCCAGATCGTTTGTATTTTTTCAAGCACTTCGCGTGTATTGCGTAATCCACAATATAAACATCAATTTCACCTCCAAGTCTAATGCTGCGTTATACATCGATCATAATCGCTATCCTTGTAAATGAAATTACTCGAAAAGTTGTCGAGCTAATTAATCAGTTTGATTTAAAATACTGCTTGTTACTACATGTACGTTTGAGAAATAATACCATTCTTTTAAACTTTTCAGACCTCCTATTCATCATCATGAAGAAAACGAACGTTATGGTGAACCCGGTTTGATTTGCTGACGTCATTTCTCTAGTACCATGTAGAAATCTTAATTACCCATATTCAATTGTTCCGCTCTGAAATTCACTTCAAGGAACGTCGAACTTGCTCCCCATTCTGAGAACCAACCAACATTCTTGGCCGCTCCTAAAGCGAAATTTCGATAGCCCAACGATTTGAAGGAGGGAAGGGGAAAGTGTTTCTCGTAAAACGAGATCAACAAATACGAATACTCGATAAAAATAAATTCAATAAACAAATAAAATCTATTTTGGAATAAGATCTCCATAATAAGCTGAATATTATAATACCTGACTGCATTCTCCAACTCGGCACTATTTACAGCTAATGACATTACACCCATCCACTTTAGACCTAGTCGGACTCCTCTTCCTCGGCATTCTTTAACCAATTGACAAAAATCTCACATTTCTTCCTAACTTCGTTTGACTCGTTACTCTGTCCATACCAATCCAAAACGGAATCTTCTTCGACGTAATCACGATCATAGAACATTTTAAATAACATAGCTGCCAGAGGTCGATTATGTTGCAGTAAAAACTTCTCCCATGAGCGAAGGAAAGCTATTTGATCCTGACTCGAATCGACAAACTAATATACGAATTATCACAAATCATCAGCCATACATCCACACAAGTATCAACACGTAATGACAACACCACATACTTTCTTGAACAGCTTCTCTCTCTTAACCAAGTCTTTGTTTACTTTTTCCCAAGTCGCATCTTCATATAAGCTCCGAATTAGTACAACAAACAGTTGCTGTTTGCTCAAATCATGTCGTATTTCGAATCGAGTGATATCTTTGATATCATCCGAAATCGTCCTGGACTGTGCTTCAGACTGGGCAAATATTCGTTTCACCTCGTTTATCAAACTGTCCTCGTGCGATTGTTTATCCGAATTAGATTTCGATGACTCGGCTTTTTTGCTGGCAAAAAAAAAAAAAAATAGTACGTTTGATTATTTCTCATGTACTAAAAATTACATTCAACCTAGCATAGAATTCGTTGGGTGACTTACGCCGGCCTGAGCTTATCAAAGTCGTCATCAGAGTATTCAACGATCCACTTCTTATCACCAATCTATATATTTTGTACAAAGAGACTATTTAGTTTGCTGTTAAAAAATACTCGATTATACAAAAGACTAACGACTCACCTTTTCATTCTTCAGAAGATCCTTTAAAGTAACTGTATCGTTGTCAGCTAGTCGTCGACGACCATTGTTACTAGTCTTTGGTGATGATGAAGAAGACGGAACAGACGGTACCTCCTTCTGCTCCTTCTGATCCTTGTCGTCCTTTTTTTCCTTTTGCTCAACGGAATTTTTGTGAGTTCTATCTACTCGCGGGTCAGTGTCTCCATTTGCACTGCCATGATCAGTATGCCTTGAACCCAGCTTTGTGCTCAGAACTCAAATATGAGTTTCTAACTCTTGTTTTCTAATAAAATCTAATTATTGTTATGGTCAGCATATTTAATTAGGAAGATTTGTGAGAGAGCAAACTGTAGGCAGTTCAGCTGACAGGGGGATCTGACTCAATTAGCTCAGCTATCACTGCCCTTACTTCAGTGACAGTATCAACTAAGACTGAATGCTAAGCTATAATGATGTTCCTTATTAATTAATAGTAACTATCACAAGGAACTTTTATTCACAACAAGGCACTTACTAAAGTATCCATACCCATCTCCTACCATCACTAAAAAGTTCAAATTTTAACTTATCACTCCATATTAATATGGGGCATGGGGACATAGAGTAGTGTGGACATAGGGTAGAAGTTGCTCGATGCTCAAAATCAGAACATACACTCACCCGAAATAAGTAACGGACCCCCTTTAATTTTAGTTTACAGAATACACTACATAATAATTTATTCTTTCTATATGTTGTAGCCTAGGTTTTTGTAGATACGTAGACTAAATTACGCGTCGCGTCTGTTAATCGTCGATTGTTTACAAAATAAAAACTCAAGTTGACCAATATATAAACACACGTCAGGTTCGTTAAATCGACGAGATACAAAATGCCTAAGAATTCTGACTTGACTGAAAGTGAACGTTACCAAATTATTGGCTTTCATAAAGCTCGAAACAACATTAGTAAAATGTTGGGCTTTTCTAAAACATCAATTACACGAACGATTCATAACCATCATAATGGAAAAAGCATGCAAACAGTGTCAAGAAGTGGTCGTCCCGGATCTTTAGATCACAAAGCCCAACAAGAACTAAAACAGATTGTTCAAAGAAACAGAAAGCTTCGAAAGCGTTCAAAAGCCCTCAAAAATATTACAGACTTAGAAAGTGCTTTACTGGAGGAGTGGGCCAAAATTCCGGAATCCGTATATATGGATTTAATTAAAAGCATGCCAAGAAGGATTGAAGCATGTATCGCCAGAAAGTTACTCAACAACATATAAAAAATTTGGAATAAATTATTATGTAGTGTATTCTGCAAACTAAAATTAAAGGGGGTCCGTTACTTATTTCGGGTGAGTGTATATCGTGTATTGGCTATTCCACCTCGCTCAACCTCTGCGCGCCATTCAGTATTTTTCAAAACGGTTATATCATCGTATATTAATATCTATTTCCGTCCATCGAATTGACAACCTTGATATGCTGTTTGCAGCATTTACTAACAAGTGCTTCCTTCTCTTTACACCTTGTGCCTTACGTTATCGAACCTACCTCGTTGGTTCTGGCCTCAAATTTGATCACATATTTGTTACCATATGACAGACAAGAGGAAAGCGCCAGAGAAACGAATTCAAGCACTCGATAATGTCCTCGTACCATATTCTTGACCTTCCCTCTTTTCTTTAGAACCCCAAATTATAGAACCAGAGACCGCGAAACGTATCAGGAAACTCAAACCCTCGTCATTCGCGGATGAGGGTTGGAATTCTTTACAAGGCGATCAACTGTGCATCCTAAATCATCGTCCTTGTGACGCCCGTGGAGCGCCCATCTTTATTCATCACCCCATCTTTTCTGAATTTCTCTCTCTTGTGGATTCAGGCCCGATTAGCACAGAAGATGTAGAATGTGCAATTAATATGGCAAAACAGATGTCGTCAAAGTTCAATTATGAGCATGAGAGGAAGGAAGCATTTATTGATATCATGAGAACCTACCTACAAAATTACAGTTTCAGTGGTAATGAAATCTCTGGTTTCCAGTCAGATGGACACATTGTGCTGACAATCAAGGGAGAAGAAACAATCCTTTCCATTCTGGAAGTCAAGCCAGAGTTTGGGAAAGGACACGGTTGTGCATACATACAAGCATCAGCCTACTATGCGAAATATGTGTTGAAGGCACAGGACAAGTGTTGGGAAATCCTGAAAAAGACGTGTTGCCCAGTCTTCATACTGTATGTTGCAGGTCCTTTTCTTGGTTTTGCTGGTGTGATTAACACAGATAAGCCCCAGTGTGACCCCTTGGGACTGGTATATATATGGTAATCCCATTGTTCTATCTACCTGATGACCATGCTTACATGATCAGAATCACACAGATGCTGAGAGCACTCAAGGAGTGCATCTACCGTCTTCACAAGTTTTATCTGGATGAGCTTATGTCAGCCAGATCTGCTGTTAACACAGTTCCATGACAAGCAAACTTCCCATATCCTTGTGAATTTAATCATCTGGAACAACCAGGGAACAAAGTAAAATTCACATACTTGGAACGGCTTTTTGAGAACAAGCTGATATACCTTGCAACCTTGTCTGATGCAAAGGAACATTATCAGATCATTGTCAAGTTTACTAAGATTTATGGCAAAAATGCTCATTGTGTTGCTGCTAAATGTGGGCATGCACCAAAAGTGTTAGGATATGACAAAATCGGAGGAGATTGGAAGATGGTATTGATGGAATATCTTCAAGATGATGAATAGAAGATGATGGCAGAAATACAGGATAAGGAGGCAGTAAAAGACAAAGTAACAAAAGCAGTGAGGACTCTTCATGAGTCAGGTTATGTTCATGGAGACCTGCAAGATTGTAACATCATGGTTAAGACAAACATGAAGGAAATTAAGATTCTTGATTTCGACTGGGCAGGACCAGTAGGTGAAGCTCGTTATCCATGGTTCATGAACCCAAATATACCATGGCATCCAGATGTCTATCCCAATGAACTCATACAGGAGAATCATGACAGATATTTTGTCAAGAAAACATGTGGTAAATAGTTGTGTGTGTGAGGAAACATGCTTGATATGTTTTGCATCAGTCTATTAGTATCATATCTCCATTGTTGAAGGTGCAGTTGTTCCATCACATAAATCTTTATTTCACATTGCTAAATGATAAATGTTTTATATAAAATAGAGTCTTCAAAAAAATAGCAGTTTGAGGCTTATACAAAAAATTGGTTCATATTGCATTATGTCATTTTCAGGTTATGTTGTAAGTAAATGAAGTTTGCAGATTGAGCTTTAACATTAAATTGTCATGACAGTACATGTGCACACAATAGTAGTAATAGCATAGTGCCAAAGACAGATCAGAATAAAGTTTCACAGAATTATTGAATGTATTTGAGTTATGTTTTTTGACTTACTGTTGATATTATTAATGAAGTGTAAACTATAGTAGTAGTAGTAGATAGAATCATGGATCAGTTCAAGAGTAACAATCTTATAATTTATATAAACTGAGCAACCATCAGATCAATTAACATCACATATACAGTCAACTCTGTCTATACCGGCACGAGTGTTTTGGCAGTTTCTGGCCGTTATAATGAGAGACCGGTATTAGTATATAAAACTGTTACACGGGTATGAAATTGTGTACCCACGTGATTATGCGATAAACTCGTTATTGTTATTTTTA